ACTGATAGTAATGTCACAGAACATATACAGGACTTGTGTGACTGATAGTAATGGCACAGGACATATACAGGACATGTGTGACTGATAGTAATGTCACAGAACATATACAGGACTTGTGTGACTGATAGTAATGTCACAGGACATTTACAGGACTTGTGTGACTGATAGTAATGTCACGGGACATACACAGGACTTGTATGTGACTGAGTTAGATATGTTAGATAGTTAAATATGATCTATTTCAAACTCAGCTTTTTAAAACTTATGTTTGGTTCTGTAACTGGTTTTCAGATTAGTTTATTTACAGCATGGTTTGACTATATTAACTCTTAAAAGAAAGTTAAAAGACTAAAAAAAATCAAATTTGTTTAGTTACCACAAAATAAGAAAAAAAAAGGAAATCGAGCAATTTGAAGTTCGTTGACGTAATTTGTTGGTAAAAATATTTGTTGTTATTTTGCAATATATCTCTAGCTAGAAAAAACTACATTTGTCAATGAATTGTACTATAATTAAAACTAAATTTGTTAGAAAATAAACTTTGTTTGTGTAACTATTGAGTTAAGTTTATTGAACTTTAAGAAAAGCTACCGCTGAATAGTAATCCATACAGGCTCAATGAACTACGTCATCTGTTCTGGATAAGTGATCATCGCCTGGCAACCTACATAGTTGATTGACATGTCAAACATTGACAAAGCACACCCATGAAATAAAGTAGCAGTGTTCAAAGATATTTTGGTGATTTGTAGGTGCTTTTCTCTCTAACAAGCGACAGAGGTAAACTAATAAAGTGTAAAAAAGGTAAGAGAAAAGAATCTTTTCGAAGTTCTAGCATTTATGTCTCATATCAATATACAATTTGCTATTAAAAACACTTTAATATACATTTAAACTTAGGTTGTTGGAAGTTGAATTACTGCCAATAGAAATGCGAAACATTTAGAGAATCCTAAAAAAAAAAATCACGCCATTGACTTAAAGAGTAGAAAATCACTAAAATAGATTTCATAATTTTAATATTTTGATCGAAAAGCTGAGTCCAGCATCTTTGATCTATCATTTCTAGTCTTTATTCGATCGCGATGACAATCATTATGGAATCTTAACAATTTATCCAACGAACTACGTTGTATTGTTGTAGGAGGGTCGTTAAAACCGCAAAGGCGCGCTTATTCAGTCAGAACTGAAGTCTCAACTGACAGAGCTATATTTTTCTTAGCCTCTTTTTTTAGACTTTAGATTATCCTAATCAAACGATTTTAGAATCGTATGGATTCCATCTCGAGTTTCACGCTTCGTGGCTTTTGATGTCTGTAGGAGGTGATGCGTTTTGAGCGAATCTAGTGACCCCCCTCAAAGGCTAGGGTTTGTTTAGTTTCTCTATCTATACTGTAAGTCCCATTATTAAAAATTTACGCGCGTAAATTCTATTTGCTTGTTTTTTATTACTAAGAACTGAGTTTACTTTGAATAATTAATTCCCTCTAATTCGTGGTAAAAAATTGCAAAAAAAGTGTTTAAAAAAACAATGCTTATTTCAGCGGTTAGACATACGAGTGTCCGCCGATAACCGCTGACTGAAAAGTGCATGCGAGCAGACTACTTTCTTTTAATTACRAAGGACTGAATTGAACTTTTATTATATATGTATACGCCTATGTTCTTAATGAAAAATTTGCAAAACAATAACCTGATAAGAAGTTAAATTAATTTGCGGTGGACGAATAACCGCTGACTTGATTACAGGAGTGCAGATTCAGGTTATAATTAACTTGGGTAGCATGAGTGGCGTTCGCGGCTAACGCGTCGTCTTTCGCCGCTGTGAGTCCAACGGGTCGGGTCGCTGGTTCGAGCCCTGCGGTCGCCACATGTGAATTGAGTTTGTTTGATGTGTTGTTCTCTCCTATGCTACGAGGGTTTTCTCTGGGTTCTCCAGTTTCCTCTCTCCATAAAAATCAACATGTGAGTTGAGCGTTGTGTGCATAGAACATTTAATGTAGTGCAGTAGTGCGTGTGAGTGAAGAGTGTCCCCAATTAGTGCGAAAGCGCTAGAACGACTAGACACTTAAATAAAAAGTGATTTATTTATTCATTTAAAAATAATATACTTTTTCTTGAATTTTGATTTTTTGTTTGTTTGTTTGTTTCTAATTAATTTTATTCAAATTTCTTCCTTTTCTGGTGATTCCTAATTCATTCTTCTAAAAGATATTGATCAATATTTTTTTCGGGCCAAACCTAAGTCAGTTCGCGGCTTGAATTTTAGCATTGTTGCAGCGATTTGCAATGTTTTCTCAGTCTTTTGGAATTTTTTTCTTTCTTTTCTTCAATTTTTTTTCTTCCTTATAGCTTGATTCCTTTTCTCATTCTTCTATGACATCATCTTATTCTCTTCTTTTTCTTCTTCTTCTTCTTCTTTTTCTTCTTCTTCTTTTTCTTCTTCTTCTTCTTCTTCTTCTTCTTCTTCTTCTTCTTTTTCTTCTTTTTCTTCTTTTTCTTCTTTTTCTTTTTCTTCTTTTTCTTTTTCTTCTTCTTCTTCAGTCTTCTTCTTCTTCAGTCTTCTTCTTCTTCAGTCTTCTTCTTCTTCTTCTTCTCCTCCTTCTAGCTTCTGTGTTGCTTTTTCTAAAGTTAGGATAGATCCTCTACATACTGAATCGTTAATCCTCTTGATAAATCGTACGTTTAATTGATCTGAATTAACCTTTCATTATCTTACCTGTCTATCTTATCCACTGTATGTTATTTTACCATCTTCGAATCAAAATCAAGGTACAAGTTATCTTATCATATATTTTATTTTATAACTATAACTTTTTTTAAGTTTTCGAGAAATTCAACTATCATATACATGCACCTCAAGCATCTTGTGAAACTCACTCTCCAGTCACATGAAAACAAAAATTATTCTTGGGCTTCCTGTGGTTGTTATCCGAGATCAAAGTGCAAGTGATTCACCATTTGTACCGGAAAGAACCATTTCAACTTGATGCAAGCAAATTGTATTGTTATAAACCATCTCTTTAGCTCATTTTGTTTCAAATTACCAATGATTCCTTAAGTGACTCAGCTTGGTTTTCATTTTACGCTTCAGATTATTTTTCACATTTATTCAGTTCCCATTGGATAAAAAATATTACTTCAATAGACTGACTTTCCTTCTTTGTAGAAATGTCTTCCTTATCTTTTTAGTAAATAAATTCTATTTTAAAGTGGACTTAGATACTAATATGACATAACTAGTAGTTCGTTTCCGGCGTGACTTGACTTTGGCCTCTTCCCAGGCAGCGCGTGACACTGCAAGCTTCATCACACGGGAACACCTTCTCCATTATTGGCATCAACATCGTTCATATCGTAAGATATAAGATTTGCTACTAACACAAACACAGTATTCTTCTTATGGACTAAGCTAATACGAGGTAAAAGCGAATTGGATAGTTAATTGAATTTGTAAGAAAAGGACAGAAAGCGACACGACACCCATGACGTAATAGCGGTACGTTTCGACTTAGTTTTTTAAATATATTTTATGATTAAAATAGTGCAAATATAGAGATTTAATTCTGATAAAACGCTTAGCAGATATTTTAAAATTATGCTTCTACATACAATGATATTCACTTCAAATGGACAGGGTGTAGGAATGAATTTCAGTTCCGTCAAATATCCTTGTCATATCATCTCCCATCTCAGAGTAGTAGAAGAATTTGCGAAAATCGGCCGGCCCATTTCTCTGAGTTTGGCACTTGACTGTATTCTTTTTTTTAGAGCTTATTACTTTTATAGAGCGTTTTCACRCAGTACCTAGAAAGTGATGATAGAGATCAAGAGAGATGGCAGCCATATTGGTGTACCTAACAAAAGAAAGTAATGACAAAGTTATTGTCAAAGGTACACCAATATGACGGCTGTGACGTCATGCATGTAAAAAAGAAATTTTCTACTGTTTGTTGTAAGATGGCAAGAAAAAACACATAAGTGCTATTAGACTATATCAAAATGTTTATATTATTACCCATTCATAGTTATTAAATATGCTCAGACCATTGATACCACGTGTACATCAGCATTTTCCCGCCAAAGCCAAAGGTTAAGACACTCGTATTAGTCAAATCTAACTAGTGGTCTATCAATGCTGCATTCTGATTAGATTAGCTACTATAGTAGGCGAACAGTGCAAGCTTTGAAAGGCCAAAAGATTCAATTTAACTTCAATTAAGGCCTTGTTTGCATCTTTGCATCTAAGTATTTTACCGGTTGGATTTGACTATAAGACAATTAGATCTCTCGCCCTCATGGCCTATGAATCAATAGCCCAGTCAGGCTCAAGGACTAATTGCAAAGCAGTAGTTGCTCACCACTTACTGGAAGTTGCATGTAAAGTTGTATAATTGACTGCCACGTGGCCACTATTATAATGCAAATTAATTATCATGAGTATCAATTGTTCGGATGTATAGTAAAATTCAAACCATGCAGTATTAAATCATAGCATTTTAAATTCTGTTTTGAATTTGAACTGAGTAATATAGACGTATTATATTTTCATTATGCAAATCTACAGCAAAGAAAGACAAAGAAAAATTTCTTGTCATACACGTAACTCGTTTTTGATTGAAAAGTTTTGATACTATATATATGGCAACGCAATTGTAAAAACTTTAAAACGTGTATGAAAAACGTGTACAAAAACGTGTACAAAATAGAAATTGTTCAATATTCTAAAAAGATTTCAAAACCACACGTATTTTATGTTATTTTCGGGATATTCAATTGTTCACTAGACGAATCGTTATTCAAAACATTGCAAAATAATTCATGGTTTATTGACCAATGAGCTTTCATTGTCATTGTTTTCCATTTGACTTACGAACAGGTGCGTCTTGGTAATTAATATAAATAGCCTCGCCTTTTGACTGCCAAAACCACGGCCATATTTACAACGTTTTAAGACGAATATTCTTCCTAATTGTGCCTTATTACGAGAAAACCAAACTAAAAACCATAGCGGGCCACAAATCAACTCTACATCGTTTTATATAGAACGCACATTTTTCATGTAAGTCCTTACTTGTTGAGAGGAAATGCTGGTAAATGATAGGCATGATATAATGTATATTTTCTTATTTCTTTTAAGTTTTAAATAATGGATATTCTTTGGTTATTTTTCAGAAAACTCTCGTAAAATATGGGAGGAAATACTTCAAAGAAAGCTGGGAATAATACCAAAAATGCTGTTAAGACTAAACCGGCTGAAAGACTTCATAATTTGGATGGTGTGAGGCAAGTTTTACTTGTTCATCATTCGAAAACCAAGGCACAAAAGGATGCAGTTCTTCATTTTCGCGACTGCCTCATACAAGCTGCACCAGGGAGTATCAAAGTGGTCAAGACAGTCAACGTTGCTGACCAAACATACGAACTCCAAGATGTAAGCTGGCTCGATGCCTTGAACAACGTTATACTCATTCGCCTGAATCCTGAAGATATTTCTTCACTCGCGAATGTTGTTCGACAAAAAGGATATTTGGATGACAATAATTATTTACATGGGAGAGTGATAGCGGTCGCTTTTGGAAAATCTCTTCCGACTGGTTGGCCACCAAATGGAGCGAAAAGAGAAAATTTGGATCTAAAAGACTTTTGCCTTGGACTTGAAAATGAAGAGGACGAGTTTGAAGATTCAAAACTAAGTTCGTTAGTTAGCGCAATTATGGCAAGCCAGTGATTTTTGAAGTGGTCGGCACTAGTTTCAATTTCCACAGTCATGACCGGTAAATAGATTTTTGGAAAAGGTTGCCTTGAAAATGCTGAACTCTCTCCACACTAATCTATGACATGGACGTTTTTCCATCTACCTTTTTTATTAGGAAACTCTTCTTTTTCACCCTATTGTGCAATGCATTCTCATTGAGCATTGAGTATTTCAGTATCATATGTGAGACAACCTTTTTCAAATCCCAATTTCAAGTTTGAAACTAGTAATTCTACTTCGTCATTGGTCTAAGTCGCTACGAAGTCACGTGAGATAGCACGCGGCAAGCAAGCAGTCAGTTGCGCTTGGTGATCGAGCAGTCAGGTTTGCGAAAGCAAACCTCTAGCGAATATTTATCATTATGGCACAAAATTCAACAGATGAAGAAATACTTGCACTACAAGACGAACTATCTGATGGAA